CTTGAAACCTATGGCCTATCCTCAGTAAACTTCAATTGGAAATTGTCCCTCCTCTTAGTTACATATAGTGTGTGTAAATGTGTACATCTATGTACATGTGTTCTCACCTAGTTGTGCTTGAGCTCTGGCTCTTTGGTCCCGCCTCTCAACTGTCAATTAATCAACTGGTGAGTGTATGTGTATGTACATACACACACACTCCCTTGTATTTGGCAGCGTGAGGTGAACACACATGATGCTGAGAGGCCTTTACTCTCCCCATCCCTGGTCCCCCACCCCCTTCCACCCCTGTCTTTAAAGCTGAAGATGTAGAGAGTTGTGATGGCATTCCAGGTCCTTGTGTCCTTTGGTGGCACTCCAGATCTTCTTGTACTAGTTGTGGCACCCCCAGGCCCTCTTATCTCAGGTGTTGGCACCCCAGGTTGTCTTGCCCCAATGGTGGCTCCTGGAGCTCTCTTGTCCCAAGGTTGTCTCTTGGTTCTTTTGTACCTTGCCCTGCTTGTCCCTTGGCTCTCTTGTCCCTTGGCTCTCTTGTCCCTTGGCTCTTTTGTCCCTTGGCTCTTTTGTCCCTAGGTTCTCTTGTCCCTAGGCTCTCTGGTCACTAGGCTTTCCTATCCCTAGACTCTCTTGTCCCCCTAAGCTCTCTTGTCCCCCTAAGCTCTCTTGTCCCTATAGCTCTCTTGTCCCTAAGTTCTCTTGTTCCTAGACTTTCTTGTCACTAATCTCTCTTGTCCCTGAGTTCTCTTGTTCCTAAGTTCTCTTGTCCCTACGTTCTCTTGTCCCTACGTTCTCTTGTCCCTAGGCTGTTTTGACCCTAAGCTTTCTTGTCCCTAAGTTCTCTTGTCCCTAGACTCTCATGCTAAATTGAATTTTGTGTCAATTCAAACTATATAATTCTTAAACAAGCTCAACTATTATGTACACAAAATACTAGTACACACAGTGTAGTTGAACACAGCTGACCATTATATATACTCTGCGAAGTGAACCCCGCTTCTTAGTGTGTTTACACAAAGATGACTTTTGACCTAGACAATGTTCAGCACTAGAGTCTACTTAGTGGTTGGTCAGTAAGCTATTTTGGTGGTCCTAATAGCATTCCAAATGGTCAGTAAGCTATTTTGGTGGTCCTAATAGCATTCCAAATGGTCAGTAAGCTATTTTGGTGGTCCTAATGACATTCCAAATGGTCAGTAAGCTATTTTGGTGGTCCTAATGACATTCCAAATGGTCAGTAAGCTATTTTGGTGGGCCTAATAACATTCCAAATGTTCATAGGCCTAAAGACCAACACCAAACGAAGGCTTGTTGTTCCTGCCCCCTGACTTAATTAAAAAAGGTATATCACTATGTTGTGTTTATATAATTGCAACTAATCTGTGTTTAGACAAAACACACACCAGAAACTATAGGACATGATGACAATTTTGGGAAAACATCCTGACTATTGCCAATGACATCTTCGACCATTATTAATTTATGTTTATAAAATATTTTCACTGTGGCTGTGTTTATATAATCATAACTCGTGTGTGTATGTGTGTGAACAGGACTCGAAGCTGAAGCACATGGCAGAGCTGCAGCTGTCAGTAGTGTCAGATGGGGAGAGCAAACAGCAGATCATGGGTCAGATCATGCAGTGGGAGGAGAACTTGGAGCGGCTACACTGTGAACAGTTCCGCCTCAGATGTTACATGGCCTCACTGCAGACTGGCGAACTACCCAATCCAAAGGTAAATCATGCACCAATGGCTTATTTGATGACCCTTATTTGGCCCTTATTTGATGATCCCCAATGACCCCTTGTTATATATCCATAAAAGTTACACCTTATGCAAATATTTATGGTTATGTCCAAAACATTGTGCGTAACTAGTGGCTTTATATAATAAGCAGTTGGTACATTTACCCACTATGTCAGCGTTCAATCTCCAACCGTCCAAGTGCTTGGGCACCATTCCTTCCCTCTGTCCCATCCCAAATCCTTTTCCTGACCACTTACCAGAGCTATATAGTCGTAATGGCATGGTGCTTTCTCTCTCTCTCTCATCAGTTACAGCCCCGCTCCTGTGCCAGGTAAGTCCACTACGGGCTCACCATAGCCCGTGCTACTTGGAACTTTTTGTTCCCATTAGCTGAATCTTAAAAAACTACAACGGTGCTTTCTCCTGATAGTTTCCTACCCTTCGTAGTTAGGTGATTAGCAGATTTTATGTTTTAATTGTGGCACTTTGTGATACTGTACTGTAATTTGGAATTAAGCTGTACAGTATATACTATATTGTATTGATACTATACTATACTAATACTATACTATACTATACTAATACTATACTATACTATACATTGTAGGTAATGTACAATGCTTTATGGTTTAGATACTGTGCAGTACAGTATTGATAGGTTATACAGTATATGTATTACACTATACAGTATAGATACTATGCTCTGCAGTACTGTATAGATACTATGCCATATAGTAGAGATACCATGTTGTACAGTATACTGTGTGATACAATATACAGTAGATACTATGCCATACTGTATAGATACTGTTCCACAGTATAGATACAGTGCTATACAGTATAGATACTAGGCTATACAGCATAGATATTATGCTTTACAGTATAGATATTATGTTATTCTGTATAGATGCTATGCTATACAGGATAGATATTATGGTATACAGTGCTATACAGAACTGATACTATACTATAGATAGTACCATGAGGTGTTAGTTATTAGTATACATTTTTATACTGTATATTCACCTGGTTGTGCTTGCGGGGGTTTAGCTCTGTCTCTTTGGTCCCGCCTCTCAACAGTCAATCAACTGGAGTACAGATTCCTGAGCCTACTGGGCTCTATCATATCAGCAGTCCCCGTGGCGAAGTGGTAACACACTCGCCTGGCGTTTCGCGAATGCTTTGGCCTGGGTTCGTATCCTGGCCGGGGAGGATTTACTGGGCACCAATCCTTAACTGGAGCCTCTGTTTACCCAACAGTAAAATGGGTACCTGGTTGTTAAACAATTTGGCGAGTCGTATTCCAGGTAAAATTAGGATTAAGGACTTGCCCGAAATGCTATGCGTGCTAGTGGCTGTACAATAATGTAAAGATTCTTGTATATATAAATATATAAATACAAAAAAACAATTGAAACGTGTATTATGTCTGCCTGCACCACATCACTGTGTACGGCTGCTGTTACACACTTGTGTACTGCATTGTTATCCTTCTAATTTTTCTTATCTCATTACATTATTCATTGTGCATAATTTTTGAAAGTATATTGCTTGAGTTCATTAAGACAATTACTGTGATGATCTTTAGGTTGTGTTTTATGTTACAAAGGCTTCATTTTAGGTTATTTGTAACAAATATGTTATCAGAGTTGTAAGTTTTTTTTATTTCTTAGGGTTCTATCCATCAAAATTTTATATTGATTTTGATATGCTGTATTTTTATACAGCTTTGATGGGCTTGAAAGATCCACAAATTTAATCTATTAAAACTTTATACAAAATCAGCTTCACTAATTTGACTGCGTTCAGGTACAGTAAGTGGTAAAGGTCTTATGGTGACCTCTTTATATTCCTAAGTTCTCATAATTTAGTCTTCTTCATTCCTACCAATATAAATGCCTAATCATAACCTGTCACTGCCCATTCCTGTTCATAAGTTCTTATCAAAGTTTACCATGCCTTAGTAAAATCAGTGCCTAAATATTGGACATTGTCATTATAACGTTACTCTTTTTTTCCATTTACTCAGGGTCTACTGACGCATGTGTCACGCACTACCAAAACAGTTCTCAATCGCCTTGGGGTATTTACTGTCAGCAGCTTCCATGCATACATTTGTGCCCGAAGTCCTTCCCTGCTCAATAACCTCCTCGCAGGTAGAGGAGCAACCAAACGCAGGTATGATATATCTTTCTTTCGTTGCATAAATATCTTGAACATTTTTTAGCAGTGAAAATTAGGCAGCTAATAGCGTGGAAAAGTTTGCCAGACTTTACCACCGAGGTTGTGTAGATTTGCAGTAAACAAAATTCAGAATGAACGTATGATGGGAGAGCAGATTGGGGAACTGAGCAAGTGAAGTGGGTGACAGTGGACTGAAAAGTCTCAATGTACTGTATGTTGATCAAGTGCACAGAAGTGGACAGGCAATCATCCTTCTATGGAATGATAAAAGGACAGATAGAATGTAAGGGAATTGGCAAAACTATTATTATATTTGCTGTTTAGTAATTATATTTTTATACTGCAATTGCTTTGCTCATCATACACACAAACACATACATATATACTCAAACAGCAGACTCCCAGCATGGGAGGCAGTGCCCTGTTGAATGATATGTTATTGTCCACGATATTGTGGTTGACGGTTCAGAGTTTACATACATACATACATACATACATATATATATAATACATAATATGTAATATAAAATAACATACAAAGATCAAATGTTTTAAGATTTGCAGACAGTTTTTTCCCCAAAAAACAAATCAGGACCCAATATTTTCATAAATTTCTGCTCGACCATCCTGCTTCATTCGTGGACGAAGGAAGAAATGATATACAGTATAGGAGTCACTCTTTCGATTGAACTTCACTTGTTTCAGGGCACCAATGCTATCCCGCAGCAATAGTGTCTCGTCCCGGCGGTCGCTGCAGATGCAACAGCAGCTCGAGGGGGAGAAGCAGTACAAGGTTAACCTTCCAGACAATCAGGTGAGATTGTGTCAAGATTATTTATATACCGTATTCTTGAAAGTAACCTGGTTTGGAGCATTCCTTTTTTAAAGCACTGAACAGTCTATCCGTTCTTTTATGTAAAACTATTGAATCAAACTAGCTGATAATATGTATTAAGGTTGTACAGTACTTGAATGTGGAAATTGGATAAATTGTAAATTAAATTTATTGTCCTTTAAAAGAATTTGTTATTTTTGGCTCACTGTTTTGTTATTATAAAACTAAATACAGTACAGTATTTCTATAACATAATACCTTAGGATATCCTAGGGTGTTAGCAAAATGTTGGTCATATTTTTTACCATAATGGAGATTGTTAATGTTATATTCTTTCTCATTTACTTCAAACCTCAGATAGTGAGCATTAGCTTAAAAGACTCCATGAGTGTGGAAGAGTTCTTGGTAGCAGCATGTGGACGTAAGAACCTCAACCCTATGGAACACTTCGTTCGCGTCAAAAAGCGACGAGAGCTGGAGGAGACTAACTACTTCGTCCCACATCGAACTGACCTCATAGAAAACTATGTATGTTTTTGTTAGTGATTCAGAGACTGTTACTTGTCCATAAAATCTGTAGAATATGTTGATTTTGCGATACAGTAATTGCATTGTTTTCAGTTCCATACATAGCATTTTCTAGATTAATAGTGCACACACCTTGTTATTTATATTATACACATTACTATCATTATGTACTTAGTTCTTTGCTGATTTAAATTTTATCTGAGATGCTATCATTGACAGTATATATTTTTGTCATACATGTAATATATAAATCATTTGGACTAAAACTAGTAACATTTGTGTTGCTGTGCATCAGTCTAGCAGATAATGTGTTTGGAACAATCTACTACTGTACAGTATTTATAAGTTAAAAACATGATTCTCAGTAATTTTCATTAAATATTGGCAGACACTAAAGGTTCCTAGAATTAGGTTCTAAGGTTAAAGTTCTTTTGACTGCCAGGATTATACATATACCTTAACTCTAACCTTTAAATATTTTACACATAAACTAATATTCTAACTCTAAATGACAGGTCTCCATTCATATCTCAAAATAGCTCATCATTTTTGTTTGAATTTTCAAATATTTATTCTTGAAAAAAAAAATATTATAATCACTGTGTTCAGGGACAGGAAGCCAGAGTGTATTCGTACACGTTAGGCTTTTATCGAGGTCCCCGCCCCCCCCCCCCAAGGGTCGAATTACTGACTCCACCCAGGATGCAACCGCACAACCAGCTGTCTAATTTCTGAGTATCTAGTTGCTGCTAAGTGAACAGTGTATTAGGTGAAAGGAAATGTGCCCAACGCCAACCTGCACGAGGCAAGACGGTCACTCTACCGTCCAGACCAAGTGGTTGGGTAGAGATGGTAGGAGCCAGGAACACCAACAGTACCACCACCTACCACAGACTCGTCCCAGCTCTGGTACACCCACGCCTCTACTCCGACAGCATCCCCACCACCTTACCACTTAAACATTATCAACCACATTTCTGTAATATCATCAGAATGTCCATCCACACACAAACCTATCTACCAAATCCACATGAATGCATCAATACAAAACTCAACTCGGTAGTAAAATGCCTTCAGCAGTATCTGAGACAATGCATAAATATTTTTATAAATTTAAAGTATTATTATTATTTCCTCATTGATACATCATGTTAATCTGATTTCTTTGTGCATTTGAAGTGAAGCATTGGAGATGAACCCCCTGGACCACACTCAGGGTGCATGGGGGGCAATGTGTGAAAACCCTGACTTGGCTTCAGTTGAAGCCTTGGGACCCCCTAGAGGATTCAGTTGAATCCCAGGTTGCATTGTTTTTAACCATATAGCGGTGTAGCAGTCTAAAGTGTGAAGTGTGTGCTTGGAAATACCCCATGAATTCCCTCAAATAATTTGTTTTATAATGGACAGGCAGCCTGTGTATATCTAAGAATATCAATCACTCATTCCACGTTGACCGGTTCTGTTCTTTGCTACTTATATATATTGCTGTTCATGCAACAACCGTATGCGAATTCACACTTAAAATCTTCCACTCACTTCAAGCTTCTAGTTGTTTCTCCATTCTCTGTGATTGAAAATGTTCCATTCTAAAAAGAAAACATTAGCTGATTTTGACACTTTAAAAACTTATTCACTTGCAGTTGGCAACCCATGAGGTAGTGGAAATCTGTGGAAAGATTTTATACCAGGTGGAGTTGTCACGCTCGTCATTAGACCACATGTGGGGCTTCAGTGTTGAGGCAGAACTCATTGAGAATTCTGAGCGACAAGATGAGCTTTGTTGCTACATCTCGAGAGTGGAAGATCGCTCGACAGCAATGCAAAACGGTATGTATTAAATATCATTACTGTACTGTGTATTCTTTTCCTTCTTGATTTATTTTGTTGTAGTACTAAGAACATCCAGGAAATTTCATTACCTATTTTTTGTTTTTAACAGTGATCTTGTTTCATGTCCATTTTTTATAGGACTTGTCTATAATGCTGTTTTGTCATTACATTATTTTTCTGCTGATATTTGAGATGGTGATTTTTTGGTTCTGCTTTGTCTTCTCTTTTTCTCTCTTGCCCTCTTCTTATAGTAATGATCTTTACTGGTGTCACTCTCATAGAAAACATGCTCATTTTATTTTATTTTGTTATTTTAAGATAAAAATATTGTGATAATGATTATAGCAATTACACTAAGAGTTTTCGAAAGAAATGCTTTTTACAGTGCCTCTTATGAATTTATTAAATGCACATGGTAATTTTCCTGCTGTTTGAAGTTTTCTTAGAGCTCATAATCTTTAATGCCTATTGACATTTTTTTATTATTTTTAAGACTAATAATGTATGATTAAAGGTACATTTTAGATTGCAGAGGAAATATAGTACAGTACGGTCAGTAAGGGGCCTCGTAGCCTGGTGGATAGCGCGCAGGACTCGTAATTCTGTGGCGCGGGTTCGATTCCCGCACGAGGCAGAAACAAATGGGCAAAGTTTCTTTCACCCTGAATGCCCCTGTTACCTAGCAGTAAATAGGTACCTGGGAGTTAGTCAGCTGTCACGGGCTGCTTCCTGGGTGTGGAGGCCTGGTCGAGGACTGGGCCGCGGGGACACTAAAGCCCCGAAATCATCTTAAGATAACCTTAAGATAAGATAACGGTACTGTATATTGATGTTTGGAGAGAAATTCAGTCATAAGGTCACTTGTATTATAGGAAAATGCTTATTTTTTTGTTCCTAAATTGTGATTCCCGCAACATACCTTTTCACATACAATGTGAATTTATTCCACCAAATATAGCTAAATGTTAATAGAAAAAGCTAATATAATCTCAGGCATACCTTAACGCTTGTTAATTTTTATTTATGGATTTGACTGCCCCAGTTCGCTGAGTGATGACCTTATCTTGAGAGACCTTCCACTCATTTCTTAGATGAATTATTAATCAGCTGGCCCCTCCTCATGAAGGGAGGATATAGCATGGTAGTCAATTTATATTTAAACAAAAAATTGACTTCACAAGGAAAGGAGAAAGTTAATATTAAGCAGTATACTGGAAGGGAATTAAATGGTGATTGTAAAAATAAGTTAATGACTGTTAAATGTAGAATGATAAAAAACTAATTTTGGTATTAAAAACAAATTGACAAAGAAAGTGGGCGTGGTAGTATAAACTACTTAATAGTGATAAAAACTTTAAAAAAGAATTTAAAAAGAATAGTTTCAGATAACAAATATGACTTTTATGTAAGTTAATTTTGCATGAAGAGCATTTCCAACATGTTTAGTACATAACAATATGAAGTTACCATAATAATTTCTTAGTAAACTTTGATACTGTATATCATGCAGGTTTGTTGCTTATTGGTCTAAGTGCAGTGTTGCCATGAGCTACAATGGAAGAAGTTGGCATTGAAGATTAAATTTTTAATAGTTTACCATCGTCATATAATGTTGACGAGTAGTGTTTTCTTACATTTTTGCCTTAGAAAATGTTGACTTGGAAGTAGCTTTGAAGCTTTCAATAAATGTTGATTATGCTTGTTTAGCATCATAAATATCTGCCAAATTGTTTTGTTTTTGTGACATTCAGTGCCCCAAAAACCTCTAAACTGCTTGCATGCTCATGCTTCAGCCTCATCAGAAACATATATATTTAATAACCATGGTAGAACAAACAACCATGCTCTGCTCTTGTGTAACTACCTCCTAAGTGTAGTTACAGGATGAGAGCTACGTTCGTGGTGTCCCGTCTTCCCAGTACTGTCATGCAGTGCTTTGATGCTGCTAACAGTTTTGGCCTTCATCTTAATCCATTTTGTGAGGGACAATGTGTGTGTCTCCAAGGTCTAAGCTGACTCTTCCTGAGATGAAACCACACACTAGTTGACTTAATCCTGGGTACCTATTTAATGCTTGGTGAATAGTCATGAGGTGATAGGAAAGATGCCCAACTTTCTCTGTCCCAACCAGGATTCAAACCCAGGATTCGCAATTATGAGTCGAGGACGAACCCAGCTGTACTACCGAGACTTTCTCACTTGCTCCAGTCATTTACCACTGTTTACAGAAGAGAACTTTCTAACGTTTTTTGAGCAGCTTTGTTTCTTTAGCTTGCGTCAGTGACCTCTTGTTCTTGATGTTGCAGGTTTTAAGAATTCTATTGTTAATTTTGGCTGTTCCCGCTACTATTTTTTTATAGTGTGACCATATACAGTATAAATTATACTGCCTCTTCTATCTCTGGTATATTTCTCACCTCTAGCTTCTCCTTGTAGCTCGTGTTTTTCGGTTCCGGAAAGTATTTAGTTGCACGTCTTTGCACTTTTTCTAGTTTATTGATGAGCTTCTTTAGATATGGCTATCATATAACTGCTGCATATTCCAATTTTGGTCTTGTAAAGGTCATGAATAATTTCTTCAATATTTTGCCATTCATGTATTTAAAAGTAATTCTGAAGTTTGAGAGCATAGCATAGGTTCCTCGCACAATGTTCTTTATGTGGTTCTCAGGTGACAGTTTCCTGTCCAGAACCACCACTAAATCTCTCTTTATCAGAATTATTTTATGCTTTTTCACAAAATTTGTAGGTTGTGTGTAGATTATTTTCTCATATCCACATTCCATGACATGGCATTTATTAACATTAAATTTCATCTGCCAAGTGTTGCACTCATCACTTACTTTGACCAGGTATGCTTTAAGGGGATGACAATTGTCTAAGCTTCTTATCTTCCCCAGTGTCTTAGTATTATCAGCAAATATGTTTATATAATTCTGTATTCCTTCTGGTAGATCATTTCTATAGGTAGTGAGCATTACTGATGTTAGAACTGAACACTATGGTACTCCACTGGTAACACTGCTCCAGTCTGATACTCAGTAATCGGAGGCAACTACATTGCATCCGATTACTGCCCTCATTTTTGTATGAAAATTTGTCATCCATGTAGAAGTCTTCCTGTCACTCCTGCAGTATGTTCTAGTTTCCAGAATAACCTCTTCTGTGGGAGTCTGTCAAAAACCATTTTTAGGTTTAGATAAATGCAGTCAACCCCAATCATCTCTTTCCTGTAAAATCTCTGTGGCTCTATCATAGACACTATGTAGTTTTGTTGCACAGGATCTTCCTAATCGGAAACCCTACTGTCTGTGTTATATAATTTCTCTCCAGGTGTTCTACCCATTTGGTTTTAATTATTTTTCCAATGTTTTAAATACTATGCTTGTCAACAATTCAGGTCTGTAATTAAGAGGGGTCTTCCCTGCTACCATTTTTGTAGATTAGAGCTATGTAAGTTTTTTTCATATATCTGCCAAGACTTCTGTACACAAAGATGACTGAAAAATCAATTGAAATGGGGGTGCTGAGCTCAGAAGTGCATTCTGTCATCACCCAAGGTGAAACTCCATCTGGGCCAACTGTTTTGTTCCTACAGTACTTACCTCCTTGAGCATTTTTTCCATTTTGTCTCAAGACATCTCTATGTACTCTATGATATTCTCAGACCAAAAATCGTATTGTGTGTAATTACTCAAGTTTAGTTAAAGGATGAGAGCTACGCTCGTGGTGTCCTGTCTTCCCGGTACTCTTTGTCGTATAACTCTTTGAAACTACTGACGATTTTGGCATCCACCACCTTCTCACTTAACTTGTTAAACACACACACACACACACACACATATTGTCTATGTGTGTGTGTGTGTGTGTGTGTGTGTGTGTTATTGATTGATTGACTGATAGAATGATTAATTGCATAAGTGAGAGTTGGGGAATGGGGCATGTAGCTTGCAGAGTCTACCATATGTATTTTGCTTTATCATCAGTATTGTTGTTTGTGGTATCTTAATATAACCCACATTGTTATATTTCATATATATTATCTGCACCCTAGCAGCTATCAATCTCATCAAAATGTTCATCCTTCTTGTTATTTTGTTTTTAATGATACCAAAGTATGCATATGGCTTTCATGCTTTGGCTCTTCCATGAAACTGCAGTTACCAACATCAATTTCTCGTGTGTTTATGACTTAACAATTTCCATTTTATTAATTTTTGCTATTTTGCACCTATGTTATTATATTATATTTCTGAATTGCACAATGCATTCCTTAACTGTGAATATTCTTCTCTTATCTAGGAATTGTCACCCCTATTTCACTGTAAGAAAGGAACATGGTAAATACTGTTTATTGGTGGAATGCTTCACTAACAAGAGTAACCAGTTGCACCCACTTAACAAGTATCACTTTATGTAATAGGGCCGCAATGCTTATTCATATATGAATCTAATTTAAATTCTAGGCAGACTAAAAATATTCTTTCATCAGTAATTCCTTTCATCTGTGAAATGGGGTAAGTCAGGTGCAATGTGTAGCATTCCATATTCACTTCTGCGTATCCTCATGTAATGCAGTGCCTCAAAGTTAACAGACTATTCTACATTGCAAAATTGTATCATGCTTTTTCGTTGTGTTTAGCAAGCTGCGTTATTTTGATTGAGGCTTTCACCTCCATGCACCTTTCATCCCATCCTTCAAAAGTCTTTCCGCTGTATACATTCTACACATAGTTATTCTCCTTGCAACTTCCTGCTTTGCTTCTCAACTTTTTAAAACTTCAAATTGCTTGAAATTCTTAATGCCAACTTCCTCATAAAATTGGATTTAGCATCACTTTGCTTGCATATATTTTAAGCTACCGTAGTACTGTACTACATCTGTTAACTACACTAATATGTTCTAAATTAATTGTCGAAGTTGTCGCAATTTGTTAATCACAATTTTTAAAATGTAGCTGCTTTAATTCTTGTAGTATGACACACTGTGAACAGATACTCAAATTAATCTTTTAGTTAACTACATAACGTGAGCTACTAATCTTGAGAAGTTTGAATAGGTAATGAACTGTTTCATCAAATAAAATGAAAAGGGATTCATATGAATAAAAACATTGAACTTCCCCATCCATCTTTTTGACCATAGATGATGATAATACAGTAATAATAATAATACTACTACTACTAATAATAATAATAACAATAGTAATATTAAAATATACATAAGAACATGTTATAGTGGTTAATTAGAAGGTACAGAAATCATATACAGTATTATACAAGGCTACTAATATGCACAGCGTTTCAGGCATACAGTATATAGAGACCGAGTTGCCAAAGAGGAAATCTGTACAAAGTATTTCGACTAGGAGGCAGTGTCATTCCAGAATCATTATCATAAGGCAGACAATGGCATGCAAGATGCATTCTCACTTGAAACCATCATGGATGAATCTTTTTAGAGATTAGAAACATCATTTAAAAATGCAATTATAAATGGAAAACTATAATTTGTGTATAATAATAAAGGTGCATAAAGGAGGAAATGTTTTCATCAGCATGCATGTAGAAAGCATCTTTGTATAACAGACATTATTATGGAATGGATATCATACACTAAAAGAATCATTTTGCATTTTTTGAAGTACTGAAATCATTACCTCTCCCTCCCCAACCCTGTTTGGAGTAGCTGTTTTCAAGTAGAGTAATATGAATTCAATAAATTTCAAGATTAAATACAGCATAGCTCTTCATAAAAAAGTAAAATGAGCACAAACATAAATATATTAATTAAACTGCAATATGTAAATACTCCTTTGTGACATACTGTTGATATCTGTGACATAAGTTTTCTGTTGTCACTGGTATAATTATGTTATTTGTAAACTCTTTCCATGCCTCTGACAGAGGAGATTTACGGTAATAAAGACCCCAACCAGCACAGTCCCACTCTCTCAGCATAATAATCTCTCACTTAAACTTACCATAAAACTGTTAAATCCTTCTGATCACTTGTAATATACAGAAGATTAATATTGTCACTGGGAGACAGAATGAAATCGGCTAGCTATCTGAGCGTTAGCAGCTCTGGGGAAGTATGCTATTAAATCTCATATGCCAGAATGAGTAAAACTTATTTAGACTTTAAGATAATGAAGTAGAATATATCTTGAATTAATTCAAATTTTTAAGAAGTGTAGTTATAGAGTAGATATTGAAACATAATATGTTCCTGTAGCATAGATCCTCATCTGATATGTTCTTCTCTCTCCTTACAGGAATCATCAAAGGAGACGAGATCATGGTGATTAATGGGGCCATCGTCAGTGATCTAGACATGATGTATATTGAGAGTGTTCTACAGGAGGAGCTTGCTCTTTGTCTCATGATGAGGTGAGTATTGGCACACATCTTAACCCGTAGCCATTTCAGCTAATTAAAATGCCTACATTGTAGTGCGCATGATGAAAAATAGTTCACAAAACTAATGTAAAAAACCTCGTTTGGGGGGTTTGAGCATAGGAGGTAATCGCAGATAGTGATTAAGGTCATTTAAGAGTTAATCATTATGCAGAGAAAGTCACAGTAACATGACTTAAAACAAATAGGACTTGATAGGCATCTAGGATGGACTGAAATGTTGTCATTCACTTCATGTCATATGTGTGGGTTGGGTTATTTATCTTCATTATTAGTTTATTAGTGTTGAAAAGTGGTCTACGTTCACAATCAGGGATCCCCTGACTTCGATTCCTGGGCAGAACAGAAATGGTTAGGTCATGTTTCCTTTCACCTAATGCCGCTGTGCACCTAGCAGTAAATAGATACCCAGGAGTTAGGCAACTGTTGTGGGGCTGCATCCTGGGAAGGAGTCAGTAATTTGATCTGAGGGTGGGGGACCTCAATACAGTACAAGCCTAAAGTATACATGTACACAGGCTTCCTGTCCCCCATCAGTGGGAATTATAGAATATTGAATATTTAGTTACAGCCCATAATTCTTAAATATTTAAATATCTACAGCTGTGCCTTGCAATATCATTTGTGTGTAAAAATTTTAGCCAGAATTTATTCAGTAACTTCCATTTAAACCCTTAACCATGCCCAGTATCTGTCAATTTAACAGATGTGCACTGTCCTTTACCATGTATACTATACCTACTATTTTAAACCCATAACTATGTCCACTATCCCTGCTTTAAACCCTTAGTCACACTTAGTAATCCCTGTCAATTTCAGTATCAACTTGAATATTCTGTTGTTTGAGGTTCCAATAAATGCTTTAAAATGTATTCCATCATTGTGTTTTTATGTACCTTTTATTTTCTTTAGATAATTGAAGATAATGTATAATACAGCTGATACCTTCTTCTTCAGATCATCAAGGACCGAACCGCCAGATCTGGCTTCTCTCATGAAGACGACAGATGAGATCATTGAGTCTCTTGTGTGCCCCCCGCCACCCAGTGAGATGTCTCTGAATGAAGAGATGATATCAAGGATGATTGTTCCAGCGCCGTCTTGGAGCAAGTCTATCGTTTCTGGTCAGTTACATCTTTGTTTATTGTGTGAATTAATGTTATATTTATATATGTTTTCATAGCAAGAGTTAAGATGCAGTTTTATGCTTTCAATGAAAGAATATGAGCATTCGTAACGTACATTCACATATTTGACATACAAATGCCTCCTACACTTATATATATATATATGCTCTGCATGGAAATGGAAAAGAAATGTACAATGGAATCCTAATATCATGTACTGGTATCCAGGGGGTACAATTTTATAGGTGCTGGAGCTCTGGTGAGCCTGACAAAAGCCTATCATTTCCTATCCTGTCATATGAAAACAAAGTGCTTCATAATTTTTCCACACTGCTGAAACTGTTCGAAACGAGCTGGCCACCCACCTGGTGCTCATAACACGGCCTAATATTTTGCAAATCTATTGTTCAAGTTGAGTGGCACATTCAGATAGTTCCCTTTGATTACAGGTGATCTACTGTAAACTGAGTACAATTTGTCCATAAATGCTTGAAAATGATTAATTCCATGAACTTCTCTCACTGAATCACTTACTGCACGTTCTAAACTGTGATTAAAACAGTGCCAGATTATTATATCAGGGTAATGTTCCTTGAAAATTGTTGCAGTGCTAGATTTGACACCAAGCATGACACTTGCTCCATCACTTGCAAATGCTACAAGGTGTTTCAAATATAAGTCATAAAACCCATGATAATTGAGACACCTGAATAGATACCTAGCAGTAGTTTCTGCTTCCTGATCAGGTAGTTCAATTAGATCTAAGAACATGAAATGGGGATTACCTTCCTTAACACTTTCAGATTTCAAGTAAACTTTCAGGTTGTCTTAGTACTCAGGCTTGTTGATTTATCAATGAGAACAGAAATTTTGCCATTTATATGCTTGACATGCTGGCAAATTTTCTCTTTCATATTAATGGCTATGTGATTAATTATCTCTGTGGCACTAGTGTGGGAATGCAGTCCCATTCCAATGTCACCACCATTTTGCTTTTGTAGTTCCAGTAAGCCAAAGTGATCAGAGTATGGTCTGTTATTCTGAGCCAAATAATATGCAGAACACAAAATTGAACAAGTTGTCTTTAGATGCGAAGTATTCATGGCATCACACAATTTTCCAAGAGCATCTTCACTAGCTACATTTTCAACACATATAGTAGCAGTGTGAACTTTCGATAGGTTTGATCAACAATTTTTTTTCTGAGAGACTTCAAGTGTGTACTTGGATCTTCTCCATAATAGAATACTTGGTACATCTGCCACTCATTTGATAGTCTTTAACCCTTAGAAGAGAAAAGTGTTACATTGCTTATGTTTGCACATACTTTATACCCAAGTTTATCATCCCTTAAGTCTAACCATGGATAGGTTTCCTATTTTTCCTTCCACATTTCTTCAGTCCAAACACCTGACCAGGGATAAAAGTTATACTTCAAAACACCATTACTTTCTGAATTGTACATGGATTCAGTTTGAAAATTTGAACTAGAAGCAGTCGAAACACAACTTTTGCTACCTTCACTGTTATCATTATCAGTCTCCTGTACGTTATTCCTCTTACACTCCTCATTTTGTTTACATAAGCAGGAAGTCAACAATATTTGCATGGAAGCCATGATGGGGTTGTTTGTGAGAAAAAATGCTTCTGTATTATAGAGAAATCCATGGATCACCAGCCACCACTTTACTAATGCCACTGAAACACAGAAGCAGAGTTGCCAACTCAGTATTTCACATGACGCTAGAGCCACCCCAAAAAGCACTAAATTATGTAAATTTGTGTGTAGCAGTTTTGTCGTTTAACCTGCCTTGTATTTAACACTAAAATATACTATTGTGTAAATAAAGAATACCTGTCTAATGAACTACTGCTAAAGCCATGAACATTATCGCTGAATATTCGTATCCAAAGCGGTAGGTTGGCAACTTTGTCTCATACCGTTTGTCTGGCATAAATGGACAGGAAGCGTTCACGTGCGTCAGGTATTATGTTTCCAGATTCATACCAGTACAATTCAGCCTGTTTACTTTTTAAATATATAAAAATTTAAATATTATTGAATCTTTAAAAAAACAAAGAAATATATTTCATTATTAACTTATTAGTGATGTAATACTAATATTTTCCTGCTATGATCAAACTATCACCCACAAGACATCATCTCCCTTTCCCCCCCATCCCTTTCCCCCCCTCATCCTTCTCTTTCCCCCCATTCCATCATCCACTTGCAGAGGTGCCGGAGCGGCGCTGTGGCGAGCTCCGGCAGCACTGCACCACTGCCTACAATATGTGAAGGTGTCCCTCTGTTTTGACTGAATTTTTCTAGATGCAGTTTGAACTATAGCACTGTTCTTTCCTTGATGACTTTGTAAGAACTATACTCTGTTGTTGGTCATGCATTATGACTTGGCAGGCATGAAGTTCTCACTTATGTGTGTCAGAATAATCTTGGAGACATTTTCTGTGATCTTCAGTAGATAAAAAGTTTGTACAAGTTCAGCTAGGTTGTGTATTAAGATTTTGTCAAGATGTATGTTGACCAGACCACACACTAGAAGGTGAAGGGACGACGACGTTTCGGTCCGTCCTGGACCATTCTCAAGTCGATTGTCATCGACCACAATCGACTTGAGAATGGTCCAGGACGGACCGAAGCGTCGTCGTCCCTTCACCTTCTAGTGTGTGGTCTGGTCAACATACTTTAGCCACATTATTGTGACTCATCACCTGCGTCAAGATGTATATTAGAGTTCATTGTCCTTCATGGTAAACAGGGTGACTGATTCTGTAATGATTTTTGGTCACTGTGTTAAATTTGGTTCAGTGAGAGTTTTTCTGTAGGCAAGGATTCTATGCTTGAATACATACAGTAATTGAGCTGGAGACACAGTTCATTTGTAAGGCTAAGTGATCATCTTTGTATCCTTGTATGCAGAGGTATGTTTGATTATTTATAGAGTTTAGTTGGCTCTTGTAATATTTTATGTAGCTCATTTTCCATGGGTAAATCAGGTAAATCGGAATGTTTGTTTATTTATTTTATTTTTTATGTACTGTGTATATAAGATGATATAGTCATTGTGTGAGTATTATTAGCTGACATGAACTGTACTGCATAATTTAAAAATATACAAAATTATTGTTAGGTCTTATGAAACATTATATTTTCATTATTTGTATTGGAATCAATATTTTCATATACATTTTGATGATAAAAATATTCTGAAATCCAATTTTGTGATTTTAACTAAGTCATAAATTTTGGCCAATTTTTTTTAAAGTGATAAAGAAGTCTCTCAGAGAACTAAAAAAAAATTCTTGTTGCTAAATCCATTAAAATATTCTTGTCACTACAAGCTTGAATGTTACTTGTGTTTCAGTGAGAATAACTGTTATTGTAGGTAACAATATTCATTGTTCATATTATGAGTATGAGTCAAATAGTCTCCCAATGAGGAATAAATGAAGAAACTTCATTAACGTTGTTCAGATATTTATGAAGGAAGAAAATGTATTCCAATCTGTAAATAGTTTAGTTTAGGGAGAAATATTGTAATTTCTTCAGATTTTAAACAAGAAAGACAAATAAATAACATGTTTTTCAAGAAGCAACATGCAGTATAATAACAAATATATACTGTACAGTGAATAGAGAAAGTTCTAATAACTGCCATAAGTGCATTTTAGGATTCTTTGATTGTAGCATGAACAGGAAGACTCACAATCTAAGCCGCATTTGACAGTACAGTATATGAGCAAAATAAAAAATATTGGTAACCCTTAAGTCTATCATCTAAACATCTTGTAATTTCAGTGTTTCGGGTTGATAATGCTAATTAACATGAAAAATATTTGTGTGGGGGAAAGGGAGAAGGACCACTATGTGGTTCGCTGTTACTGGCCTGGATTGCCACATGTATGTCGTGTTACACCAGACTCTTGTGAGGCAATACAAGCGTACCAGAGAGCAGAGGCATAATATGTGTGGAGCCATCCAGGGGCCAGATTCACGAAAGCACTTACGCAAGCACTTACGAACGTGTACATCTTTCCTCAATCTTTGACGGCTTTGGTTACATTTATTAAACAGTTTACAAGCATGAAAACTTCCCATTCAACTGTTGTTATTGTTATAAACAGCCTCTTGGTGCTTTGGAGCTCATTAACTGTTAAATAATTGGAAACAAAGCCACCAAAGATTGAGAAAAGATGTACAGGTTCGTAAGTGCTTGCGTAACTGCTTCGTGAATCTGGCCCCTGGTGGCTAGCACCAGACAGTCATTGAGGGGCCCACCAGAAGGAGTCTCTTCATTGCATTGAATGCTGTTTTTCCTAAGAAGCTCTTTGAGTATGCTATATACCAGTTAAATTAAACATTAACACTTATAATGTTTCTTTTTCAGTTTAATTTTACAATTATTCTGAATCTCATTGCCTGTTGAGAAATGAACAATGTGGGAACAAGAATGTTATTTTAGATAAAGTTGTGCTCACAAAATTTTTTGTAAATACTGTATGGATTTGAGAAAGATCTTGTGTGTAAACATCATTCGCATTGAAATATCCATTCCCAGATGGCATCATTCTCAGCAAATTTTTTCAGCAGGTGTTACTCTAATTCATTTCTGTTGATAAACATCACTGAAATGGTGGCCAGATGGGAATTTATATGTCATGTTCAGCTTAGAGAACAGTGCTTGTTATACTTGCCTCTGCATTTTGCAGCCTGGTCATCAGTGCTATATTAATGTGAACACAAGAGGTAGGGCATCCTACCTCTTGTGTTCAGAAGGGCATCCTACAAGAGGTAGGATGCCTTTCCATTCTCAAAGCAGAGATAAGTATATATGATCTCTTGTTATTCATGCACTAATCATGTATCAGACATAAAGGCATCGACCACAAACATGACTTTGTGTCTATCATCACCAGCCATTGTGGTGTTTGTGTGTGACTGATGATTGTGGTGTTTGTGTGTGACTGATGATTGTGGTGTCTGTGTGTGACTGATGATTGTGGTGTTTGTGTGTGACTGATGATTGTGATGTTTGTGTGTGACTGATGATTGTGATGTTTGAGTGTGACTGATGATTGTGATGTTTGTCTGTGACTGATGATTGTGGTGTTTGTGTGTGACTGATGATTGTGATGTTTGAGTGTGACTGATGATTGTGATGTTTGAGTGTGACTGATGATCATGGTGCTTGTGTGTGATGATTGATGGAGGTGGATACAAAGTCATTACGTGCAGCTGATTACATGTATAAAGCTTGGCGAATATCCTACACCTTGTTCACATAGATGACATCGGTGACTGTACAAACACAGCACCAAATACAATTGAGCAGCATCCTTTGCTCTGAACATGATAGTTGTCAAGTCCATAGACATGACAATATTCAAATTACTTTAGCCTCTTAACAACATTTATTTTATGTTTGAGAGTGCAGCAGCATTTGAAATTATGTACATTTAGTATATTTTAATTTCTTTCAACATTAATATCATAGTATTGTGTGTGATGTGGAACTCATCACAAAATATTTTGAATCATGTTATTCAGAATTCAGTCTAGAAAAATAAAGTACAGGAAAGTGAGGAGACGGCCCATAACTGAAAATATGTACGGTGTGGTATACAATATTAAAAAAATTCTACATGCCCCACCTCATATTTCTTGTGGGGGTAGGTGAACTGGATTGTATGGTCATCTATAAATGAACACTTTGTTACAAATCGCAGATATTTTAACTTTTAACTTTCATTGTGGTCAATGTGCTTGACACTCCAACAGAATCTTATTTCACTGGTACAGTGTGGATGTCAACTAACTTATTGTTCCACCTTGCCTAACCTTTACTTCAGCGGACCGCAGCTGTGACGCGGGACCTTTAATACGTGAGCCAGCCCAAAACACACTGGTGGCTCCCTGCCTGACTCCTTGCTTACCTACAACCACCCACTGCCAGACAGGCGAGAAAGAAGGGCAGAAGGAGGAGGAGAACACTTCCTCATCTTGGGTGACAAGCCCCTCTGAGCCCTCTCCGCCCATCACTCGTGACCTTATTGTCATCCACATACCCATTCTCAACGACTCCACCCACAGCTTGGCCCATGCTATGTCACCTGCTGCTGTGAGCACACAAAGCCCTTTAACAACCACCACCACCACTGCTGCTATCTCCACAGCCATTAGTACCAGCTCACAGGCTGCTTTCACTAGCACTGTCTTAAGCACTGCCATACTCACCAACACATTATCAGGAAGCACAGCCCATGCTAAGCACTTTCCCCGCACATCATTGGAGTCTTTAGAAAACAAAGGATGTTCAGTACCTGTCAGGTCAAAATTAAGTGAGGCTATCATTCAGTACCAAAGACATGGAGATGATAGACTGGCATCAGGGTTGGACTTGCTTCACAAGAGACAAAAACGAACTGTGACACCTGTCCACTCACAAGGCCAACATCTTCGTAGCAGCAGTGAAAGTGATTCGATGAACCCCACCAGTAAGGTTAATGCCAGCCCATCAGTTGATCTGACTCCTCCTCACCTGTATCAGGGATGCTGTGAGCAAGTTCTGCAGCATCCTAGTTTTCCCTCAACAAGAAGCAACAAACACGAGATCCCACGTCCCACCTATCTAGCAACTGACCTCAGAACTCCAATCACTGTTCCCTGCCATGCTGTTTTCTGTGCATATAGCACTTCTCCAGAAGCTCGCAACTTGCAGGCCTTGTTAAGAGAGTCTGCCAGAATTCACAGTATAAAGGCACACAGGGCTTACATTGTGAAGCGTGGACGGAGCTCTCATAACACAGAGTGTTGCAGCGGTGGTGATGTGAGCCCCTTCCCATCAGAGTATAGGCCCACTAGCATCGCTAAACCTGCCAAGAACTCGTCAGGAAACATTGAGAAGAATTGTAGTAGTCAGGTGTATGCTGGGTCTCAGCCTTCGTGCGTGCTGTGCCAACGATCTTCAATAAGGAGCAGGATGACACGACACACCCATGGGAGGCAGGCAGTGATGTGTATGGTTTAATTTCAACTTTCCCTCAAGTTGCACCTTAGCCAGTGTCTTCATTTGAGGAATTGCACAATGCTGTTAATTCATGAATAATATGCACTTAATATGCCCAGTTAGCACACCGCAGACACTCTAGCTGTGCCAAAAGATTTTAGATCTTACCTGTGTACAGTATTTTTTGCTAATATAGTACCGTACTACATCTGCATCGGATCCTATTTAGTTCCCATGTACAGCAAATTAGCAGTCGACCTCAGTGAATTCAACATGTAAATATATATAGAAAATTAATAGAAATGTGTCCAGAGCAACATAGTTTGTGCTAGAATATGAGTCCCCAGTTATACCTCACCCTCTAGCTATTTATACATTTTTATGCTTGCTGGTATTTGAATGTTTTATCAATATCAAGCCTTTTGAGCACCCAATTGTGCATTTTAAGAAGTTTTTGAATTTTGAGCTACTTCTTAGTTTTTATGAACATTCTGATAATATTTTCTTAAAATTTTGGAACTACATATTGTACTTATGAAAATAAGGTCTTGGAAATACTTAAGACTACATTATTATAGTAATTGATCAAATAAAGTTATGAGATTTAGAAGCTTAGTACTGTGGCTGATTACATGTATTGTGGATCAGTGCTCATAACTTTTTGTTTTGGGGCATTTTACTGCATGTTTATTTTCTTTTTATTGGCAGGCAAGGAGCCGGCAAGTCCAGATGGGTTTCCCCCACCTCCCTCCGACACCTCAGAGCGATCTAATGTTTCGTCACTGGAAATTGAGAATTACCTCAAGGTAAGTGAAAGCTTCTAAAAGTTTATTGTCTGTCCCTGCTGATCAAAATTGAATTACTGTATAGTACTACTTGCATTTCAAGACTGGTATATTGTTTGTGATTGAAGGGGTTATGTTTTCTAAGAATGAAGAAGAAAAGGCTTCCTGAAACTGCAGTTTGTGTAATTGAAAATTACAATGAATATTCAGAAATTTACAAATAATAACAACAATAATATTTTTGTTCATAATATATGCATACATAAGAATATAATACAGAATAATGCTTGAAAGTACAAGGGGTTGCATATTAAGTAAAGGCATTATTATGCAAGGAATTTTGGGCAAAACTTTGAATAATTTAGTAAAATAATTTGTTATGGGTATAAATGGGTAAACCTCGAGCTAAAACCTCGAGCTAAACCTCGAGCTAAACCTCGAGCTAGATCAGAGACCCGAGACTGTTCAACACGCTTCCACTACACATAAGGGGCATAACTGGCAGACCCCTCACAGTGTTCAAGAGAGAACTTGACAAACACCTCCAAAGGATACCTGATCAACCAGGCTGTGACTCATACGGCAGGCTGCGAGCAGCCGCATCCAGCAGCCTGGTTGATCAGTCCAGCAACCAGGAGGCCTGGTCGACGACCGAGCTGTGGGGACGCTAAGCCCCGGAAGCACCTCAAGGTAACCTCAAGGTAAGGTAACCATACTAAATGAAAAGTAAGCGAACACATGTGGCATTTTCAAGAAATTTAACAAGTGATATACATAGTAAAGGTCAGACTTAGTGATGAAAATACATAGACAACTACATTATGTAATCTTTAGCTTTAGAAAAGTACAGAAATAGCATTTAATAGTATTAATAACAGCAAAAAATTCAAAGGTGCCCTTTTTAGTAAAGCTAGTAAAGCCAGTAGAACAAAGAACCTTCCCTCAATAGTCACGTATTAGGCTAAAAACATATGGCTTCGCGATTTGGTAATTAATTCAAAAATTCCATGTGTTGTCTTGGTGTGCAAAGCGTAATTCTGATCTCTGATCTTTTGCACCGCTTTATCGGCCAACGCTCTTTCTGCACTTTCCATTATTTGTGTGTTTACATTTTTATTTATAGAATGAATTACCAGGTAACATAGTAGACTTCGTAATCTCGGAATGTTGCAGTACACTTGATATTCAAGTGTTTGTCTTCCACTCTGGATTTTTAAAATGATTTACCTGGTGGTTTAAACATTTTAAACCTAACTTAATATTATGTATAAAAAGACCAAACCAACACATAATAAACACTTAAACACATTGTAATCATTGTCTTCATCATCATTATTGTATTCATTATAACTGTATAATTGTATGACCCTCGTCATCATCATTGTAATCCTATTTGTATTCATTTTTATTGCAGTCTTTATCTTGATCATCATCCTTTGCCACCTTCATCATCATTCATCATTATTCATCCATTCATCAGCCATCATACATCCATCCATCCATGAACATCATAATTCATCATCCATTTTTATCATCATCGGCTTCCTCCACCTCCATCATCGTCATCATTATTCATCCATCCATGACAATCCATCATCGTACATCATCTAACATAATCATCATCACCAGCACCACCATCATTATTATCATTCATCATTATCCTCCCCCCCCCCCCCCCCCCTTCCCTTCCATCATAGCTTCTCGTCACCCACATTCTTTTTCCACCGTTAAGTTGTACTCTGTTTTGCTCTCTTCTCATCCGGTCTCCTGTTCCTTCCTTTTTTCTCCTTCCATCCTCCCCTCTCTGCTTCCTCCCTCTCCCTTCTCTTCTTCCTTTCCCTTCTCTTCTTCCTCCTCCTCCCCCTCACTCCTTCCTTCCCCTCCCCTCTTCTTCCTCCTCATTTTTTCCTCCCCCTCCCCTCTCTTCTTTGTCCTCTTCCCCTCTCTTCTTGATTCCCTCCTCCCTTTTTCCTTCCCTCCTCATCTCTTCTTCCTCCTCCCCCTCTCTTTCCTTGCTTCCCCCTCTCTCTCTCTCTTTCCTCCTCCCCCTCTCTTTTCTTGCTTCCCCCTCTCTTCTTCCTTCTCCCCCTCTCTTTTCTTGTTGCCCCCTCTCTTCTTCCTTCTCCCCCTCTCTTTTCTTGTTGCCCCCCTCTCTTCTTCCTTCTCCCCCTCTCTTTTCTTGTTGCCCCCCCCTCTCTTCTTCCTTCTCCCCCTCTCTTCTTCCTTCTCCCCTTCTCTTCTTCCTTCTCCCCCTCTCTTCTTCCTTCTCCCCCTCTCTTCTTCCTTCTCCCCCTCTCTTCTTCCTTCTCCCCCTCTCTTTTCTTGTTTCCCCCTCTCTTCTTCCTCCCCCTCTCATCTTCGTTCCTCATCTCCTGCAGAAGAGCAGGAAGTAACTTCACGCCAAGAAGCCAGAAGCAACATCCGCATCATCTTAGCTCATTTCCGCAACTTGGCCTCAATTGTTAATCCACATTTCCATAAATATACACCTTTTTCCACAAGACAGTTCGCATTATAATGTAACAGCAAACTGCAGTCTTTATCTGGGTTGCAATTACATTTGAACACTTTAATGGCATCCAAAATATAATGGTAAAGGGGAGAAGAAGATTGCCGGTGAATAAGCTAGGCTAGTTAGGCAGGATTCTGTTTATGGGGAGCCGGTCGGCCGAGCGGACAGCACGCTGGACTTGTGATCCTGTGGTCCTGGGTTCGATCCCAGGCGCCGGCGAGAAACAATGGGCAGAGTTTCTTTCACCCTATGCCCCCCTGTTAACTAGCAGTAATATAGGTACCTGGGTGTTAGTCAGCTGTCACGGGCTGCTTCCTGGGGGTGGAGGCCTGGTCGAGGACCGGGCCGCGGGGGACACTAAAGCCCCGAAATCATGTCAAGATAACCTCAAGAAGAAGGCCAATGCCCGGATTCCGAAGGCCTGCAGGAAGCCTCTGGCGTTTTGCACATTAGATAATATTTGAGGAGCATAATGTATTATTAAATCCGGTGTTTGAGTGTAATCTTGGCTTAATGGACTTGCCAAACAGCTCAATTGGCAAGAGATTAATAGGTTGGGCGTGTAGTTGACATTTTTGTTGTGAGGTAAGGTTGTTATGCCCTGAAGGGGGTCAGGAAGGGGGGGGGGACTTCTTCACCTCTGTTAACAATGCATAATTGATGTGTGGGGTTGACACACTAAATTGGGTCGAGAGGCTGACACTGTCACGTGACACTCAGGATCACAATTCATCAAGCATTTGCACGTCCTTTTACGAAACCTGTGGATCTTTCCCCAATCATGACGGTTTAGTCTGTATTTATTAAACAGTCTACAAGATTGGAAGTTTCACAATCCGAGTATATTATTGTTATGACAACCTCTTAGCGCTTCGGAGTTCATAGACTGTTTAATAAGGGTAAATTACGCTGCCATGATTGAGGAAAGATGTAGAGGCTTCGTAAGTGGAGACTTAAGTATATGATGACTCGTGGCCCACTTGCTACCATAAACAACGTCCTGGGGAAAGACTATAACGCTCTCAAGGTCTATCATAAAACACGCTAGTAATCACCAAGGACCTGCCCGAAACTCTGCGCGTACTAGTGGCTTTACAAGATTGTAAATACTATGCTATGTATTCTCTCTAACCCAATGTACCTTCTTGTATATAAATAAATCAATAAATCACTCGCAATAAAAACTAATCCTTGCTGTGGGGGTATAGCACATATATAACTATCAGAAGAGTTCCTCGCCACAGTACTGTAGGCCTCTTCCCTTACCACAGTTCACCAACTGTGTAAATATTGTATCTGTGACCCGGGCATATATTTTGTGGTGTGTTTAAGGTAGATGTGTTGTGTATGTTGTGTTTTAGAGAGGGGATGAAGGGTAGGGTAAGGGTGGGTATAGGTGGGTGGGGAGGAAGGGTAGAGTAATTACTTGAGTGAGAATATTACTAAGATGCTTTTCTGTCTGTCTGTGTCTGTCTGTCTGTCTGTCTGTCTGTCTGTCTGTCTGTCTGTCTGTCTGTCTGTCTGTCTGTCTGTCTCTGTCTCTCTGTGAATTTCTCCTTCTTTTGTTTTCTCAAAATAAGTTTCAGCAGTAACAGGAACATAACAGGGAATTATCGAGGAAATGAATGACTGAACAAGTAGCATGAGGTGATGAGGAATGAGGGTACTGGGGCGGGCGTCTAGACTGTATCATGAAGGGGGGGAGGGGGGACTCCTCATGGTGGATCGCTGAAGAATGTTGATTCATGAGTGTCCTCGGCTGTCTCCTCCTCCTTCCCCTTCCCTCATGCCTCCACCCCCAACCTATCCCCCTCCTTCCCGCCTTCCAGTCTCCACCTCCCATCCCCCCATCCCTCATTTTGCCTCCGTCTCCCCTTCCATCTCAGCCACCCTCAGGGTCCTTCCCCCCTTCCACCGTCCCATCTTCCACCCTAATGGCCTCCTTCTCCCCCCCCCCCCCTCTTCCTATCCACGTGACATCCGAATCACAACATTCGACATTGTGTTGACAGTTAAGAGAATGGGAATCAGAATTCACATAAATGAGAGAATTAAACGCGCCAAAATACCCATTGGCAAAGTAAGAAGTTTGTGTATAACCTCGACACGAACACACAGTTACAAGACTAGTCCAACTGCATCGCTAATATTCTCCAGTACCTTGAAGACGCTCAATGTGCACCACACTACACAGCCTTTGGCTCAAGCTCGGCGCTAGAAATTCATGCTGCAAGGCGCCGGGTCCAGTTCACCATATGACCGTCCAATCCACCATATGACCGGACAATCCAGGAGCTCCGAGAATCCCTGAACACACAACCCCTGAACGTCAAGGTACAACAGCAAGCCCCCAGGGCGTCGAATACGATTGGAATAGTAATAATATTAGAAGATCCAGAGTAAGAACGATCATGCCAAACAAGTGGTCCAAGAGCCTGGATGGACTCGAAGACAGTCATGGTTCTCAATACATAATGCACACCAGAAAACGTCCACGGAAAAAGCCCAA